AAGTACACCCTTTTAGATTTGCTTAAAATATAGATTGGCCCCTGTAGTTTGAAAAATTACAAATACCTCCTTATTAGAATTTTTTATTTAACAAAATTAACTGAAAAAATGAATTCATGATTGTTCTTTTATTCAATAGTAAAATTACCTAAATTATTAACTGAAACATATTTTTAACATCATTAAAAACTGTTAATTGACTTGATGATTTATTAATAAAATGGGCAATTAGTTATGAAATTAGAAACCTTATAGGATGGAATGTAATTTTCAAAATCATAAGGGGCGATTTGTATTTTAATAATACCTCAGGGGATGTATTTGTAATTTATCCATTTTTATTAATTTTCAAAATCATAAGGGGCCATTTTTTTTTTATATAGGCATTGATTTAGACCCCCTTAAAACACCCACCCCCACAACCCCCTCATACACATGGAGGTTGGGGATTGGGTGAGAAGAAAAAAAGAAAAAAAGAAAAAAGAAAAGTTGACCAATCAAAATTAAAAGGGGTCAAGGGGGTGACCCCCAAAGGGGGTCTCAACCTTTATTCTATATTAATATGATGATGGCGAGAAACTCGCCAAATGGTGTGTGGAAGTTTTCATTGGTCTCTCTTGGGTACGGAGGAAGTCTTTATACCATTAGAAAATAAAGAACGGGCCGTGTGATTTGTGTTGAAGAGTAATGGTAAGATGAGTAAATTTTTATATTAAAAATTACACATTAAATGATATATCATCAATACATCAAATGCAATTAAAATGGCATTTTTGTTTAGATTGTGAGAAGAGATGAGAAAAAAAAATTTGATTGTGATTTCTTATTTATTTATTTATTTATTTTTTATTTCTTCCATTGGAAATGCTTCCATGTGAAGTTTCTTATTGCTTCCATGGCAATCCTTCTGCGTCTCAAGGATTTGGGTATGGCCGCCTCTGCCTCCGCTGTAGCCGCTGTAGGTGGTGGTGGTCATCGTCTTCCTCTTCTCTGTTATTTTCCTCTTCCTTCATAGAGTTTGACTTCCTAAGAAGAAAAGAGGACTCTATTTTGGGGGAATTTTGAATTTTTTTTTTTTTTTTTTTTACTGAAGCAATCTGAGTTGTCTATTGTTAAGTGGATGATATGGCCCAATCTGGCCATCCCCCGAAAGAAGCACTAGAGAGCTTACTAGAGAGGATCCAAACTCTGAACGAGTAACCCCTTATACTTTTTTGTAGGGATGTACAAAAAAAGTTATGTGAACCCATTTATTGACTAAGTCTTGCCTGAATTCTTCTTTTTTAAGTTTCCAATATGAGTAATGTTAGGGATCATGAAAAATATATCATGAAATATATCATGAAATTTTTTCATCCTTTGATTAGTCTTGATTACTGTGTGATGTTTTATTATATGGGTAATCTAAAGGTTGAGAAACTTTCATGATAATATTCATGATATATTTTTCATGATCCCTAACATTACTGTTCCAATATATGGTAACTCGAAGTTAGACCTCTTCCAGGTCTTCTCCTTATGTCATGGGTGTGGATCCTTAGCAGTTCCTTTTATCTCCCTATTGTGAACTCGATTACAATTTATTTTTATTTTTGCGTCTCTAGTACACTATCTAAAAAAAAAAAAAAACTGCTAAAGCCACGTTTTCTTGCTCTTTCTCCAGATTGTTCCCAGCTTAAAAAAAATGGGGAGGTCTTTCCGTATCAATTTTGATATTCTTAATTTGGAGTTGGAGACTTTTCAATGATAGAAGTTTCTTGAAAACTTGGTAGCCCAACTTCGTAATTTTGGGCGCTCACTTGGAAGTCTACCCTACCCAATTTGTTGATTAGAGAGAGAACCAAAAGATTTACCATGTTGAGTTGCTAATTTATGTCACATTTGGCTACCACCACTTTTCTCTGTCAGGAATTGTGCCTCCTTGGTTTGTGCCTTGGGAACATCACGTAAAATTCTACTAGTTTCTCAATTTGGCGCGTTATTTTTACACATTTTGCTACAATTTCTTCTACCATTACCTGCCTTGTTAGCAATACCTAATCCAAGTAAGGGCTTCTTTTTTTGTTGGATTGATATTTTTGCTTTTGAGAGCAAAAAATTGACAGGGTTTTGCTCACAGTTGGGGACTGTAAGGTGGATATAAATTGGGTCAGGCCAGGCCAAGCCAGGCTTGACTACAAATTAAGGATATATATGTCAGCTTAGTCTTACCGCGGCTTGGTATTGGGTATAATTTGGCCTCTCCAAATCTAGATCTAAAAAAAAATTCCAATCCCAAACCACCACTATTGTGCTCGTATATATGGGCTGTAATTTGGACCTCTGAAGAAATCCTTCTATAGTCGAATTATTTGCAATGTGACAAGCCTTATCCAAATCATATTCCTCAAGTTTTGTTTTATTTATACAACATAACATTTATTAGGGAAAAAAATTACACAAACTAATTATTGGCGTATTCATAGTATTCCAAAGAGAAAATGAAAAAAAAAAAAATTAATTTCAAATTATTTGGGTTTGGAAGTTCAAACTACAATTACTACTTACTACTTAAATACATCACATAATCACATTGTCCAAAAGTTCAAATTCAAATTATAGAAACATCATATTGTCCAAATAGTTCTACTTTCATAGCCTTGAAAGCTTAAGAAAACTAATCATAGCTCAAAGAACATTCCCACTCCATGAATTCCAACATGCACAAAAGTTGTCTTTCTTCCACAGTCTCGTGAGTTCACTGTTCACAATAACCCCTATAGAAAACATAGCAATTTGTGAACATGGTAGAGAAGACACAAAGTAAAGGATTTTTTTGGGAAAAAAATTATCAATAAGTCCTATTTTGCTCTTAAGATTTTTTTTTTTTTTTTGTTACAGGGAAATCCTCCCACCCTCCCGCAGGTCCAAGGCAGCGCCCCATGAGGAGATCACCAAGGTGTCCTGTTGTCCGTTCCGAGTAAGAGACTATAACCTGGAAGTTTGACCTCCCAAGGCAAGCTTCGATTAAGTCAGGACTCGCACAGCGGGGGAGCATTAAACCCATACCAAGTAGCTGATTAGGCATCCTTAAGGTCCAACATCCTAACCAATAGTGCTTCGCCCAGGAGATTGGCCCAAGGGGGGAATTGAACTTGTGACCTTGGGGCTTAAATCCCAAGGCCTTACCACAATGCCACAAACCCTTGGGTTATGCTCTTAAGATTACTATTGAGTTCTATTAAGTTTCAATATGTACAATTAAGTCAACCAATTAGGCCTAGCTTAGTTAGCCACCATGTCTTTCTTAGGGCTTAGTCCCAAAGAAGTCATGGGTTCAATTCCCCTTAGGGAGTTGAATTAAGGGAATGCAAGCACTTAGGTGCTTTGCCAAGGGTGGAGAGATTTTCTCCCATAGGTGCTAATCTAACAACTACCAACTAACATTTGCTGATCAAAAAAATATGTACAATTAATTCCTATTTGTTATAAAACGTTCTCAAAAAGTCCATTCAATTTGACCTATCTTATTTAATATGAATAATGAACAATAATTTTATAAACAATTTTGACTTAATTAAAATTAAAATTTTTAATTGTAAAAATTATTAATATTATATCAAAAAATCATAAATAATAGTTGGATCAAAACAACTATAATATAATGCATCATTTTTTGTTATTTCAAATTATGAATTTTTTTAGTATAAACAATCTAAAAGAGCTAACTCGATTAAAATTTCAAAGAGTTACGAAAAATAATACTATGAAAAAACTTATGCTTTTGTTTATGAAAATTCATTTAATTTCAACAATTAAAAATATTTTTATTATAAAATTGTATATAAAATAAATTATTTATAAATTTTTTGGTTCATATTTTAAAGATAAAAATAAAAATAAAATAAAATATACTATTATGAATAATTGAACTTTTTTACAACAATTCATAAAATAAAAAAGAAAATAGGACTTATTTATTAATATTGAAATTTGATATAACTCAATAATAATTTTCAAAACAAAATAGTACTTATTTGTAATTCTTTCATTGTGATTTATGAATTTTTTAATACAATATCATAATTTTTACAATTAAAAAAATATAATTTTACTTAAATTAAAAATATTTATGAAATGGTTGTTCATATTAAATGAGAGGCTAAATTGGGATAAGATACATCATTATGGGGAATGAACCTTTTGGAACATTTTATGACAAATAGGACTTAGTTGTCCATATTGAAACTTGATAGGACTCAATAATAATTTTAAGAACAAAATAAGACTTATTAGTACTTTTTTCTCTTTTTTTTTTTAGAAAGGTTTTTTTTCTATTTTTTTAATTTCATGAAAAAGAGAAAGGAGAAACCGGCCTCATCTTTCACTCCTTAATCGAATTTTTGTAAGGAAAATGATATAGAAATCTATTTTCCAAATTAGTTTTTAAAACCTAATGATGTGTAAAACAAATGATTGGCTAACAATTACAGAAGACATGAAAGAGAATTGTCTTGGATATTCAAATAGAATACCACATTATCGGGTTTAAAAACTAGATCTAACTATTAGGTTAGATTAGTGCTTCTCTTTTTGTAATCCTACCTTATGTTCACATGAATCATATAATGTTTTTTAAATGATGCCATACTTGTTGCATCAGCCCATCCAATATTGTTTGTTGTCATTTTGAAATGAAGAACATATGATAATAATGCCATAGAGTTATAGCTTTTCTGTACCAAAATTCTCATATTCCCTATACTTGATGAATAATCAACTGTATGACGTGTCAAGAATTTCAAAATGTGATAGTTTGGAGACATGATTGTGTGAATGAAAATGCTTTGGATACATGAGAATAAGAATTTTGGGTAAGAAGAATTGTGCCATTCTGCAAGTACAAGCTAGAGTTACACAATGTTATCTAAAAATATATCACAAAAACATTTTAAATAAACAAAACAGTAAATCTAAAAACGTACCTAGAAGTATAGAACTTATTGCGAAACATTGCCTTGTCAACTTCGGTTTCCATGTTCCCTCCTTTTCTGTCTTCTCGGCTTGTGTTGCTTCCTTCCAAAGGTCTCGATGAACCATTCATGATCCCTTGTCGTTATTGTGTGCCCAATAACTATCCCAACCACTATCCCACTCACATATCCCATGCATATGACAATCCAATCAACTGTACTTGGGAACATTGAATCATTATCTTCTTTGAAGTTCAATGGTGGTGCCTCTGGCTTTCCACATTTCCTTGACAAAGGGTCTCCACAGAATCCTAAATTCCCCTCACAGGAATTGTTCTCAAATGTGTTTAATTGCTTCCCATGTGGAATGGGTCCAGTGAGATTGTTATTTGACACATTTAAAAATTCAAGGAAAGTGAGAAGTGCTAGTTGCTGAGGGATTTCTCCTGAGAGCTTGTTTTGAGAAAGGTCCAAAAATTCAAGGTTTGTTAGGTTCCCCAAGCATGATGGGATTCCACAATTAAGGTCATTGTTGGAAAGGTTGAGCACCTGAAGCCCCTTAAGGTTTCCAATAAATTTTGGAATCACCCCTTCAAATTTGTTGCTTGAAAGATCAATGACAGTGAAGATATTCAAGATCCACTTATATTCTGTATTTACACTTTTGTTTGTAATATTCATGTTGAAGTAATAGATAGAAGTCCATGGAAGGCTGATATTTAAGGGAATTTCTATGGGTGCGTACATATATGTCATCTTGTTGACATCAAAAAATTTCATTGCAATCCAATTTTGAAAGTATTTCGTTGGCAAATTGCCTGTAAAACCACTATGAGAGAAGTCAATGATGCGCAAATTCGAGACCGGCCGGGCCAGCTCAAGGGCCAAAAAATTAGGCCCAGACCTAGGGGTTATTCGGACCTTGGGCAGGCTGGTGGGCCGAGCTCGGGCCGGGCCAGTGGGCCTAGGTCGGGCGGGCTTGAACATTTTTTTTTTTAATATTTTTACCAAAATTTTATTATTTTTCACTAAAAAATACATTAGGCATCAGGCGGGCCTTGAGTGGGCCTTAAACGGACCGATGGACTGGGCTTCAAAATGATGGCCCATGCCCATGGTCTCGGGCTAGGCTTGTGCTCGGGTCCAAACCGGCCTAAACAGGCCGGACCCACACCAGGCCGCGAGCAAACTTCGGGCAACCCACGAGCTGCGAGCCATTTTTACAATCCTACATAGTTTGAAGAGATTTATTGTAATTTACCCTTTAACTAAATATAAGAAATATTAGTGATACAAATAATATTATCGGTGAATCATAAAATACATCCTTTGAGATTTGTTTAAATTATGAATTACCTTATGTGATTTTAAAAATTACATTTCGCCCCTTCAAGTGTTTTATTAATAAATTATCAATTCAATTAATAGTTTTTAATGATGCAAAAACTATATTTCAATTAACAATGTAGATAATTTTATTATTGTATAGAAGAGTAATTAGAAATTTTATTTTTCTACTAATTCTATTAAATAAAAAATTCTAACAATAAAATATTTATAATTTTTAAAATCACAGGTGTAATTTATATTTCAAACATATTATATTTTTTCCTAATATGAAAAGGTGTCCTACGTTGATAAGGGTTTGTGATTTTCACCCTAATAATAATAACAAGTGCAAATTATACTGATAGTCCTTACATTTTATTCCTTATATCATTTTGGTTTATAGATTTTTAATTGGCTCAATTTTGATTCTTAATAAAATTTTGTTAGTTTTTTTACAAAAAATTATCACTAATTGAGATTAACTCATCGAATTTAGTAAATATAATTTTGACCTTAGAAATATGACACATGACATTTATGTACATATTTTTTTATAAAAATATGTTAAGAATTGTAATCGATTGGATTAAATTAAAACAAAATTATAAATTTAGGATTAATCGAGTTAATTGAAATTATGAGGACTAAAATGACAAAAGAATTGAAGGATAGGACTATCGTCATAATTTATCCTAATAATAAATCCACAACTATATATTATATTATTTTTCTTCACTCACACAAGCCTATTTAAGCCCCAAGCTTATATCATCTGCTCAAGAAGTTGAGAAGGAAAAAGAATTGAAGAAATTTGGTTTCAATTTTTTGAATTTAATTTTTTGAAAAAAATTCACATTTTTTTTTGTTTTTAATAATTTTTTTATTTTTTAGGTACACGTAATATAAGTATAATTAAAAAAATATAATATTTATGAATTTAAAAAAACATTAGTATATTTTCATATTCTTTTGTATTTATTAATTTTTTATAATATTTTTTTATAAATATTTTACTTTTTAAGTACATTTATGTTAAATGCATCTAAAACAAAAAAAATTACTTAAAATATTTTTAAAAATCACTAAAAAAAAACACAAAAAAAAATCTTAATTTTTTAAAAATTAAATCTAGAAAATTGGATAATGTTAAAGGAGGATTACAGAAGTCTGGATGGAGATCCTTGCAAGACTACCAATGAAGTCTCTCTGCTTTGAGGTTAGTCTGCAACTCTTGGTACACCTTAGAAAAAAGATTGGGAGTTCTAGAGAGTTCTAATGGTGTGTAGACTCCACAATGATGTACTGTTTGTGTTTTTTTTTTTTTTCATTGTCAAATCATTAGAGTTCTGTTTAAAACTTCAAATTTAGATTTCTGGTACTCCTTAGACCATCTCTAACCCTGAACCAAACCTGTCATCAAATTTAAAATTTGGTGAAAAAATCACTTTTTCATGCTCCAACGGTTTCACCAAACCGGTATCAAATTTAGAATTCATCAAAGTGAGAACAGTATACAGATTTAACCAAAACACTGTGCGTGACCGTTGGAGGGAGGAACCGGTCAACCAGCCGGTTGCCCGGCCAGTTGACCAACCGGTCGACCTCTGCGTCAAGGTTGGTTTGACCTGTCAAGTGGTTGGTTTGAACTGCTTGGTTTGAACCGTGGCCGTTGACCGGCCGGTTGACCCACCGGTCCACCGGATTGAGTCCTTCGGCTAGCATTTGAACTGGTATAGTTTTGAGGGTAGCATATGAACTGGTTGGTTTCATTTCATGTTGTTTGAGCTGGGTTATTTTGACATAGTTTACTTTGTGGATTATGAATAATTTAGAAGGTGATATAAATTTTAATTTTCTTCAAAATATAAATAAAATTGTTACCTTTTACATATATATTACAGAACTAGCCGTTACAATAATAAATTACCGTTGGATGGACAAACTATTTTGAAAATTTACCATTGATGATGTGCTCTATAAAATAGATCTGATTTCTATATCAAGACAGTATTCCATTTTCAGAATATCAAGACAGAGTATTTCATTTTCAGAATAGCATTACGTTTATATGTTGTGAGTTTTGTTTCTTTTGTGTCAATACATATTTTTTTCTCTTGAAATTTTAATTATTAGTATCTCAATAAATTATCTGATTTTGAGTTTGAGCTTATATCATTATAATATTTTTCAGTAAGTGTACTGTATTTTTTTCAAAGTATGGAAGATTTCGAAATGTTTGGAGAATCACAAATGTTGGAGCAAAACACTGATATTAATTTTATGTCGGAATCTTAACGAGAGCAGAACAAGCAGAACAGTGATAATCATTTTATTTCAGAAACTTCTCGTGTTTCTCGTGGTAAAGCGTTCACAATTATAGAAGATGAAACTTTATGTAGATCTTGGTTAGCAGTCTCTCAAGATCCCATTACTGGTAATAGTCAGACTATGGCTATATTTTGGGAACGAGTATTGGTTTATTTTAATTCACAATTGAGCAGTGAATCAAATCGAAACCTTATTTCTTTGTCTCACCGTTGGTCTGTCATGCAAAAGACCATTAATAAATTCTGTGGTTTTCTTGAACAACATCAACTGAGGCAACAAAGTGGAACAACTGAGGCAGATATGGTAAAATTTATTTGTGTTATTAAATATCAATTTTCTTTTCTAAATATATACTTGTTATTGAAATCTTTATAATTTTTTATTTAGGTCACTGAAGCGAAACGAATGTATCATGTAATACAGAAAAAACACTTCACATTTGATATATGCTGGGATATTTTGCGCCGAAGTTGTAAGTGGGATGAATTTCAATCAAAAAGAACCACGCAACATGCTGATCCATGCTTCAATCTGCCAACTGAATTTGACGCTTCTCAATCCAACCAAAATAATGTGGTGCACGAACAACCATCTAACACATCAACACGACCAATTGGTACTAAGGCAGCGAAAGAGAAGCTGAAGAATCAAACAACGCATGATAGTAGATTTGATGAAATGGCTGCCAACCAATCTAAAATTGTTGAAGTGTTATCAAGTATCTCCGCTAGAACTATTGAGCGAGATGAACAAAAGGCGATAGACCGTGAGCAGAAGGCTGCAGAGCGTCGAAGAAGGGCCGAAGATAGGGAGGAACAACTAAAACTCCTATCCATGATGAATGAAAGAGAACAACGAAATGAAGATCATAAAATAATGTCAATGGACATGACAATTTTAAATCCTATGCAAAGGGCGTACTACGAAGGTCTTCAACGACAGATTTTATTTCCATCAACTAGTAGATTGCCTTGAAAGGTTCTGTATTAGTGGGTTTCATCCATTAGTTTTATTATTTAAAATTATTACATCTAACTTGTATTGGTTAGTTTTATTGGTTTTATGAATTTTTGCCATGTATTTATGCCATCTTTCAAGGTCAATGTCTAATTGTTGCCATGTTTTTTGAATAGGGAGATCTTTGGCTTGTACTTCAATGTCGTTTTTTTTTAATTAACCTCGTCTTCTTTAAAATGATATGTCAATGAATATGCCAATCAGTACTATAACCTGATTTATACCACAAAATCAGAAATGGTTAATGACCGTTTTTGTAGCATTTTCAGAATGTACATAATAATGTCCTTTGTCAAATAGGCATTAAAATGAAAAACCACAATATGAAGTATATATATCAATAGGCCAATGTCATAAGTGAATAGGTTTTAATTACTGTCGTCCTCTTTAACAAACTGACCCAACAAAAGGTTGTTAAAAGAACAAAATACTGAAACTAAAACAAATACATAATGTGAAATACATCAACAGTCATTATGTGGTGGTGGTGGTGGTGGTGGAGGGTAGTAGTGGTGGTATATGTCATTTACCCGATGCTCAATCGTATCTACGCGATGCTCAATATCCACACAGAATTCACCAAATTGTTGAATTAATGAATTCTTGGCAGTGGCAAATGTATCAAACTGAGTACCCAATGAATTGACCTGATTAGCCATTTGTTGTTCCCATTGAACGCGTTCATTATAACGTTGTTCTTCCATGGCCAAAAACTCAGTCCAATATTGAGGTCGTTCAGTTGATGGCATCACATTGGCAGGAGGATCTTGTGGAGCATCATCTGGTGGGACTTCATCTTCTAAATCGTCTGTAGCATTATCACTTCCCATTAAATTGGAGGCTGCACCAGCACGAGTCACTGTATACTGATTAATGGGTGACCTGATTTTCATCTCCGTTTCATCTACAAGCCGAACCTTGAAATGTTTGAAAATTTTGGTCAACAGTGCCCCAAACAGTAATGACCGGCCCGTGAATTGACCTTGATTTGCAATTATCATTTCTTTCATAATTATGTAACACAAATATAACTTATGACCAACTTCAAAACAGTACAACAAATAGGCATTAAAATATGAGACCGCATCATGATGTCCTTTTTTTGG